TCAATCTAGGTGACTTGACTACTTTCCATCGTTAATCGAGAAATAGCTGCCCTTATGATATAACAATCCAGTTTAGAAATTAATTGAGAACTACGCACACACAAATAACGAACACAAATTAATTAGGATCATTTTTTTAATAATTCGAAATCGTGACATATTTGTAAAGCTTCAGAAACTGTTTTACAAATTATTTGTTTGTCTAACTTGGCATAACGATGGCCTGACCATTTGTCTAGATGCCCCTCTGCCTCTCTGCCACTTTGCCTGCGTGAAGTTATCGGGTAATTAAAACGATAAAGAGCTATGGTTTTCAAGTATCTAGAATTGTGCAGAGAATTGTTAACTTCATGGTACTTTGTACTGTACTACGATGCGAATAATTGCGGCCAAGTTCGACAAACACCCATAGTGACAACAACAATAACAACAGGTATAGAACATCACATTGCGGAATTTCACAGCAACATGGAAATTTGTTCGATGCCTTGTCTCTTTGTTAGTGTTGCGGTTAGTGTGTGAGTGTTTGTTTCTCGTTTGTTTGTTTGCTTGTTTGATTTGGATTTGATTTCTTTTTTGTTGTTACTGCTGTTGTCTTGCACTCGTCTCGAGCCATTGCGCTAAGCTTATTTAAATGCCGTGCACAGTTTCTTGACCTCCACATGCTGTTGTAACGCAGTCGATGTCGCTGCCATTGACGTCGCTTCAAGTGTAACTGCGCATGCGCGCGAGCGCCGGCCCAGTACGCTGCCACTTCCGCAACTCACCCTCAGCTGGAGCTGTGGGTCTAGTTGCAGCCATGGCTGGGATAGCTGGGATGGCAAGCGTCTTCGTCTGGGTTGCCGTTTGGCAATTTTGCAGTTTTGCAAACAAGCAAAAATGCTCAAAAGGTTGCAACGTCGCTAGTTGCGGAAAATGCGATTGACGGTAATTGGTTGACGTTTGTCTTATTTAAATTTGTTTTCTTCTGGATTTCAATGCTATAGTCATTGCCATTGCTATTGCCATTGCCATTGCTATAGTCGTTTCCATTGCCATGGCCATGGCCATTGCCATTGCTACTCCCGCTTGTTCTAGCGCATGCCAGACGTTGCTGTCTATGCACTTTTCTCAGGCTGCTGCCTCTGTCGCTGCGGCGTGCAACTTTAATTGAAATGAAATGAGTTTCGTCGATTTGTGTTCCAGGAATTTGTTTTTGATTGTTTTCTTGTAAATTTGAATGATTATCGAGGCAGTTGCAAGTTGCTTATTGCAACCAGATGCGAAGTTATTGCGCAATTGCCAAGAACGAGCGAATCGCATACAACTCAACGATCAAGCTAATTATGGTGGGGCACAACGCAACCCTAGCCAAGGAACTGGCCTGGTCTGGCCCGGCACGGCACGGCCCGGCCCGGTACAACCACTCGAGCTGAGCAATAATTGAGCCTAATGTGATTTTGTGTGTGTATGCATTTGTGGGTACTCTTTTAATTGCGTGTACAGCTGTTTGAATTTTGCACTCACTTCCGCCTCGTGAAATGAACGCCTCAAATGCGAAGAACTGGGCCAGGACTTACTAAGAACCCAACCAATTTATTACCGCTATAGTGTGCTGTATATCGCGATAAAAACACACAGACGGCCATTTATAAATGCTTGCAGATTAAAGCGAAACTAAACTACTTCCTCGACTATACAAATACAGACTGTGTAGACTATATGACTAAGTACACTTAGGAGAAATCAAGTATCTCATTGCAAAATTCAATTCTATGTGTAGTTTCGTTGTTACTTAAATCTATGTTATAAATAAAAAAATTATGAGCAATCGAGAACGCTCAGTCACAAAAACCATCAATCAGTATCACAATAGAATCGACAAATTATATGTAAATAAGAGCTAAGGAGACTGCAAATAAAGCAGAACTAAGTAAATTCAAAAAACTTTTTTCAATGGACTTTCATAAAAGAATCTTTTACAAGCAATAAGGCGCGAAATCAATTTGAAAAAATGTCCGCGTAAATAAAAATGAAGCTGCTTTCTTAAAACATCTTTCCATTTAAGCATATTTTGTCTTATTTTCTAATCATTACTGTTAATGCAATACACTCGCACTTTTAAGTATATATTTGAAGCCAAATAGAATAAATATTTTTCGTTTTATTTTTCGCTGAGTTTGAAAGTCTTGTACAATTTATGCTGCAATACCTGATATAAATCTAAGCTATAAAACCACATGTCTCAAAGTTCCTTGTGATACAAAAGCGCTAATTGATTTCTTTATTCTATTCTACTGTTATTATTTTCAATATCGATTACATATATTTTAAAATTATAATTGTTCAGTCCATACTTTAAGTACGAAACGGCAGAAGCTCAAGCCAAATCAGTCTAGAATGTTTCGTTTTGCTTTTCGCTAAGTGCAGCTACACGGAGTGGGGCTACAGTGGTTTCTTATGAAGAAACGATGGAACGAAAGACGGTTGCGACGTCAAGTTCAATGCTGCCTCGCCGAAGATTGAAACCGAAACTGATGCGTAGTTTAGGGCGATTTACACAGTTTAAACAGACGGCGATACAAATCGCCGCGCACATGAGCCAGCGATTTTGCACGCATTTTACTAAGCCCAACAAAAACAACAACAACAATAACAGCAGCAAAAAGCAGGCAACTTGAGAGCAGCTGTTTGTTTTTTTCTCCTTTTTATTTTGTTTTCTGATTTTGCAACTGGCAGCCCCACAAACTGATAGCTGTAAGGAATCCACGGCAAAGGCTTCCTGGTGCCATAACTGTAGCAAATGGCGGCACAACATGCAGCACCGATAGCAACAACAACAACAGCAGCAAATATGTGGCCTTAGCCTGAGAAATCAGCGTAGGCGTCTGTCTGTTGTGTTGTTGCATACGAAAATGTTATAAATTGCGCATTTGATGAGTCGAGAAACGTTTAGTTTAGTTTAGTTCTTGGGCAAGAAAATTGAGAAAGCCTCCTGAGAATGCTGGCCATTCTTCTATGCAGCTGTATGCGAGCGCTGTTCTACGCGCCGCGGTGTTTCTCGGTCTCTGCAGTGGCCAGCGTCGTCTGAGCGCTGCGTTTTAGCCTTTTAGCGGTTGCATGTCGGCTGATTAATTGTGTTAACGTCATAAACGTGATGATATCGCAATGTATGCGCATTTTTCATGTTATTCAATTCGTTGCCGCAGAGCAAAAGCGGTCCAAGCAGCAATAACAGCAACAGTATTGCGAGCGTATTTGCATAGCGTTTTATATGGCCTGCCATAACAAAAGACTTAGGCAACGAACTCGTTTGCCATACATTGTATGACGTACCGTTTTGGTACCCAAATTAAATCCATCGATATTGCAACTAATTACAAACATTATAGCAATTTTACAACACGTTACGTTCCATTTCACCATTCCACTTACAATTTTTTTTTTTTTTTGCTTCTGAAATATAATTGAACTTTAATTCCTTGCCAAATTAGGCCGCTGCGTGTTGTACGAGTATAGCAGGTGTTTGCTTCTATTGCTTCTATTCGTTTCTGCTTTAGCAGGAAGCGTTCTGCCCGGCTATATCTCTATAATTTTGAAAAGATTGTGCGTGCCTGTGTCGACAGTCACGGGCTCGGAAAGCTGCCATTCAAAACAGAAAAATTCATACACATTATAGAGGCAGCAAATGCGCAGTTTTTCACCTGCTCTGCTCTCTATGGTCACAGCAAGTTTTGATGTACGTTTTAATTAAATGAATAGTTGTTGTTCCTGCTGCTATTAATTGTGCCTATTTCAAGCTGTTGATGCAGGTGTAAATGGCAATAAATGAAAAGTTCGCATATACTTACTATGTACAAATAATAACGTAAATTTGCGACATACATATGTAACACTGTGAAGTATCTAGCGTTTATATTGATAGGATGCATTTTTATTCCAAACAAAAACATTTTATTCAAAAAAGCAACTCATAAATGTACTTATTATTATTAAGTTATAACTTTTTTAAATATGTCGATTACCATTTATTTTGAAAAATATATTCGAATACTAAAAATTTTTATGAGCGAAATGTTTGATACTTATAAGTATTAACATACTTTCTTTTTATTGTCTAATGCTGGCAAGGTGGTCTTAGTATGATAAAATATTTGTTTATAAAGATAACCCATGCATATTAGGATGTCTCACTATATTTAAAAATTTAAAATCTGCTCTATATCATGTATCTGCCATAGGTTCATTAGTTGTAAATAAAAAAAATGAAAACCTTTTTGCAACTGATTTTTCAAATGATTGCTTTCATAAAACTTGCAGCACCTGCACTTTTATCCCAAAATGTTTACACAATCCCCAGAAATTCTTATCTTATCGTTTTTATTCAAAGATTTCAAAATTATGGCCTATCTCATTATCACTTAAAGCCCCAAAAATTTAAAATTAAAGCAACAGCTCCCTCAACTTTTTTGTAAGCTTATAAAATGTTCAACTCGACGCCTCATTAAAAAGCCTGCTCATGGTAATAAAAATTGATATGTTTATATTTTCAAATGCTCACACTAGAATGTAACTCATTTTTAGAGCTAGTAGACTGGACATATCATATATTATATTGAAATTCTTTAAAAAACAAGTAACTCTTATGCAAGCTACATATTGTTTTGAATTAAAAAATAACATGAAACTGTTTTGGGTTGCTGGTTTTATTCGGAATATAAGATTTAAAATTATAATAAAACTTCCAAATAATTTGAAACATTTTCTTCCCGAAACAAACACTTTTTAAAATAGGAAAATAAATGTTAGCATATATTATTATTATTGTTTTATTATTGTTTTATTATTGTTTCAACTTTTAGTCCTGTAGTTATGTTTCGAAAGTATGGCACAGTTTCCTTCTCTACTGTTGGAAGTTATTTAGAATTATTCAATGATTTGCCTTTGGAAGTGTAATTATATCTTATAAATAGCTTACCTTTCTGTAATAGTCAATCTCATAGAAATGGAAGAGTTGGTTGTTTTGTTTGTAATTTTCTGAGACATTTATTAGACACAAATACAATTTAATATATGTATATATTTGTAATTTATTTGCCATATATGTAATATTGTAGCAACTAAAATGTACATACTAAACGACTAAGACAATGCATTGCTCAGCATTTGCAAGTGCTCGAGTTATCTTTTGTGTCTCTCACATATTTTCACATTGCATTTCACATAATTTTCTGTGCCGGCCGAGGCACAGGAGCAACTAAAACTAACATGGGAAATTCTATTGCAATTAATTAATTAATTAAAATGCTTACACAATTACAATTCACATACAATTACAACATTTAAATTATGAGGAGAAATTTATAAATTCATTTCAACTAGTTGTATAACTTTAAATATTTAGCTGTTGTTTAACTTTATTAACTATTTATTTATATTTTGCTGCACATATATGCATATTTATGCAATTTCTTGATGTAGTATTTGTGTGTTGTTACTGTAGTTCTGTTGTCCATATGCATGTACTTGTATGTACGAGTATGTATTTATTTATTTATGTTTATTCGTCTCAAATTCTACAAGCACTGCCTGCTTGGGTAGTAGCCAGTGGGCTGAGCTGTATTCGAGTGGGCGCGCATAAATCGTATATATTTTGTTATAAAATATAAATCGCTGGGCGCATTTATTACATTTCTGTTGTATTATTTAATTGGGCCACCGTTAGTTAATTTTATCTTTTGATTAACATGCCAGGTTATATATAGTATGTATTGCTATTTTGTTTTTCGTTTTCTTTTTTTTTGTTTGCTCGTTAAATGTGACTTCAAATTGCTAGCAGTAGCAGTAGCAATATGCAAATGGCCTTTTCATGTATCGCCTGGGGCTGCGCACATATCAACATGTATCGTCATTAACTACTAAAGTCTGTACGAATGTGTAAGTGTGTGTGTGTGTGTTGATTGAGTTGCACAGTTGCATAATATTAAATTAAACATAAAATTAAAATCACAATTTCATAGACTTGATGTGTGTATGTGTGTGTGTGTGTGTGTTCTTTTGCATTTTCATTGAATACTTTTCACGCTGCGTATGCGTAATGCACGCTGCCTTCTCTAGTAAGAGCAGTTAGTTTACTCACTTGGCAAACTTTTTGGACAGCGCAGAGGATATTTAACCAATAGTTGGCAGCGTATTATTTTCATCCATCATCATCGTCATCATAATAATCTTCTTCATCATTTATCCAAGAAAAATATTTTTGAAAATATTTCGTTGGAACTTTTAAAGCATAATTTCGGGCGCCGCGCACAACAAATAAAACCGCACAATTAAAAGCAAAGCTTCTCGTCGAAACGAAATTAAAACCAAAGAACTACTCTGGAGCCAAATGGTGAAAGCTGCTGGCGCTATAAGATGCCGACTGCCTGTAAAACGGGAGAGAGAAAAAGAGAGGGAAATTGAAATGAAGGAGTTTAGTTAAATGCGGCGTGTCTATTGCGAAGCACGAATTTAATAATAAAGAAAAACAATCAAAATGTTGCACGATTTTATTCGCACTCGCACAGCCCCGCAATTCACAGCACCCCCACTTACCTGCTGGAACACACACAGCGCAGGGCACGCTTAAACGAAATGCAAATCTTGGGTGGTTGGGAGGGTCGATGGCAGCAAAACGAGTTGGCGACGGCCGGAAGCTTTGCACTGCATCCGGCTGACTGGCTGACTGACTGGCTGACTAACTGACTAACTGGCTGGCTGGCTGGATGGGCTGAATGGGCTGGATGGAAAGCCTAAAGATAGAGCGTCGCCTGCTGGCGATGATCGAAGTGGTGTATGTAGAGCTTCTTCTTTGACTTCTCTTTGGATGGCCTCAAGTCCCAAACAAGATTCGACAAGCTACGCGGTCGTGACAACCGTCGTGTCTTCTTCTCCGGCAGCTTGTTCGAATCGCCGGAAGTTCGACCGCCACTACGAGACGAGTCCAGCGTACCCTCGCGCGGATTGTGATGGTGCAGCAGACCGCCTGCACCGGCGCCACCACCACCACCACCACCATTGGTGCTAGAACTGCGACTATGCGGCAGATAGGCGTGAGTATTTAATATGCTGCTACACTTGAGCACCACATCAGGCGGCGTTCCGGCGCTGCCCGCCGGCCCTGACTGTCTTTTGGGATGCGTTGAGATCGGCGGCGTATTTGCATTCGCATGTATGGCGGCGGTATTGTCGGGCGTCAGCTGCAGGCTGCTGAGGCTCTTATACCTGCGATTGAAAGAAGTACCAAATTGAAAAATATGCTCTAATAAATTGTAGCAAAGCATCCATCTAAACAAAGGTGGAGCGGAACGAAAAAGTTATTCACATAGCGTTTATTTTGTATTTTTTATTTTTTATTTAGCTGTTAGTTGTGGTAGTTGTGCAGACGAGCTTAGCGATGGCGATAAAGTTATTTTACTGATTATGCAACTTTAGTTTCCCTTTTTTGATGATAAAACGAGTTACTTAGAAAAGAAAACAAAAGAAAAAATATGTTAAAGCGATTCAAGTATGAAACCCTACCAACGCAAAAACCGACCAATTTACTCAAAACTTAAAAATTTAATAAGCAATTTTTGCAAATGACCCTTGTTTTATGTATAATTGTGATGCTTGCAGATATTTACTTGTATTTTTTATAAAACTGTGTCTTAATTTCAAATTATTGTAGCTAGGTTATAACATCGCTGGCTTTTTAGAAGAGCCTTCAACCGGTCTTCCATAGAATTATTATTTTCCCAAAACGGAAAAGTGAAAGACACTTAAAGTCTTACTCACCTGATGTGAAAAAGCGGCGATTGCGGCTCCAGTAGACCGGCACAGTCCTTGCTGGTCAGCAGGCCACTGGGGCTGTGGTTGCTCGGTAAATGATTGTTGGGCGTCAGCACCTTGCCGTGATGTGGATGCGCATGTGGATGGCTATGAGGGTGTTGGAGTTGGTGTGGGTGCGGATGGGGATGCGGATGCGGATGTGGGTGCGGATGCGGGTGGGTGTGTGCATGATGTGCGGCCAGAGCGGCGGCTGCAGCATTGGCCACAACAGCCGCCGTACTATTTCCATTTCCATTGGCACTTCCATTCCCGTTCCCATTGTTGGTATTGCCATGATGCGGGGGAGGCTGTGACGTCTGTGGCGTCGCGGTATGACTGTGATTCTGGCTCTGGCTCTGACTATGGCTGTGACTGTGACTGGTGCCGCCCGTCGAGTTGCCGTTGCTGCTGCTGCCTGCGCTATGGGCGTTCTTGATGTAAAGCTTTGGTAGTGTGGGACGTTGGCGTTTCTCTGCCGGCTTTTTGCCCGGTATCGTCTCGATGGGCGGCGGCACCGGCTTTATGTCCTCCTGTATATGGCTGTGTTGGTAATGGTTGACCACCAGTCCGATCTGATGGTTGTGCGAATGGCTTGGTTGGTGGTGGTGATGGTGCTGGTGGTGGTGGTGATGGTTGCTACCACTGCTGCTGTTTGTATGTTTGTTCGATTCCAAGCTGCTGTAGTTGTTGTTGTTGTTGGCATTGCCATTAATATGGTTGTTATTATTTGCAGCACTTTGCTGCTGCTGCTGTTGTTGTTGCTGCTGTTGCTGCTGTACGATGGGCACACGTATCAGGCTGCAATAATTGCCGCTGCTGTCCGTGTGATGAGATTTGAGGGTTGGCGACTCGCAGATGGGTTCGAAGCGGGATAGACCCTTCGAGAGAGGCGTCAGTCCCCTCACATAGTCGTAGATGTGATCGATCTCGCTGTACTCTTCGGCAATTTCAGTGTTTTGGAGCGCCTGCTGCTGTTTAGACCATGAATCACAGCTGGCGCTTTTGCGTAACACATAGCCACTCTCTGCTAGACCACTGGCCATACCCGCCGCCGAGGGTAACATCACCACGGGCAGCTTGTTCCGACTACTAAACTTCGAGTCCTTCTTCTCCTTCTCTGACAACTTCAGATCGACAATTTGCAGGCGATCTCGTGCATCCGCCAGCAGGCGCTGCGCCTTATCCAAGAACCGTGTGTATTCGATAAAATGCTCTAGCTGCTCCATGTTCTTGGCCCGCTGCAGCTTGATCTTGGCATTTAGTGGCACTGGCACCAGATCTGTGTCCTTCTGCAGTGGCAGCGCGAAGATGCGATCAATCTCAACGCATCCGAGTAATCGCAGTTCTGGCACGAACGGCTGCTTAAGACCCTTGGGAGCAGTGCCGTGCACAAGGCTGTAAGATTAATTTTAGAAAAAATGGTACTTTATGAATTGCTCTACCAAAATGCACTGTTTTCTTGTATAAGCCTATAAGCCTATCTAATAAAACTTAACTATATAGTAAATAAATAAATTCTCAATTACAGCTAGATATGGAAGATATTGAGATTTTATATCAGAATTCTTACCGCACAATAACCGGCATGCGCTTCATCAGTAGATTCTTGACGGTGTGGACGCCACTGATGCTATCCTCGCGGGCGATGGGCGAGAATTTGGCTTTGGTATCTAGGGGCAGATTGATGATCTCGTCTTTGATGTTGCGGCACTGCAAGTACTTGCCATTGTCGTTCATGGTGGTCAGCAGTTCGCCGGCGTGAATGGTGCGATTCATTTGCGTGCAACGGAATGTCTCACGTACAAGTACTCGGGTGTTTCGCCGACGCGCCAGCTCCAGCACCGAGTCGATGCAGCGCGTTGAACGACCGTCCTCGCTGAGCAGCTCAAAGTAGCCCGAATAGGTCTCCGGTATAAGCACCTTGGCGCCAACATTGGTCGGCTTGCGTCCCTCTTTGATCTTAATGGGCTGTGCCAAAATCTGATATTTTTTGCCCGCGCTCAGGAACAGCGCCGTGCTCTGTAGGGAGGGCGCCGATAGTGTGGGCACACCCAATGCCTGATGCTGACCTTTGAGGATCTTTGCCACTGCCGGCAGCGGCTGTTTGGAAAAGTCGCGCAGGTACACGGGCGTGGTGTCGCCGAACCGTGAGGCTGCCAATATTATTTGGCCATCGGTGGCGGCCATGTCGCGGTTGAAAAACGAAAGCAGTTTGCTGCGCGCCAATTGAACATTAAATGAGAGTAAATTTCATTGGACTGGCTGCTCGTCCTCCTCGTCGTCGTCCTCCGCCTCTGCCAGCTGCTGTTGCTGCTGCTCTCGCTCGTTACCGCCTGTGCTCGGATCGTAGCCGCCCACAGCGCCCTCAGTATCGTCGTAGCTGATGTGGAACAGTGGCAACTGCTCTCTTCGCTCCCGTTCCCGCTCTTGCTCCTCCTGCTGTAGCTCCAACTGCTGCTGCTCGATGAATGCGGCGTTCGCGTTCAGCTGATCCTCGAGAGCGCGACGTTTGGCCAACTCCTGTTTGCGTTGTCTGAGCAATTGAGCGCCTCGACTGCAGCAGGCCCGCTCAATGTCCTCGTCTGTAGGTGTGTGGGGCTTGTTGCTCGTCTGTGTGTTGTTGTTCGTGTTTGTATTCGTGTTAGTGTTGGTGTTGCTGTGGGCCGTCAGCAGTCGCGTGGATGTCTGCAGCGCGTAATTGAGATACTGCATTCGGTTTGTTGCTCGTCTTCTGCTGGCCACTGTGTGCGAATTTGGTGGATGCTCAGATGATGTGGCTGCGACTGGGGCTGCTGCGACAAAGCCTCGTTCACTCTGCAAAAAATGAATGCAAGTTTGTTGGTCCAAATTAGCGAAAACGTTTACTGCCTGATTTGCATATTTATAGCCTAATCAAGAAGGGTTTGTTTCTAGTGTTGCCAAAATAAGTAAAAAAAATAAAAAACAAAAACCGAATGGAGTACTGCAGGGCATGCGCACCTAGATAAAGAAGTGTGGCCTCGACCAGCATGAGGTGTTATTTATGAGTCCATAGAGCTAACAACAACAAAATTCCAGAGTGCACAGAAACCAAAACATTGCAGAACATGTATGTCTGCACTCAGAGAAAAAAAGCATAATATTTCAGTTTTAAAGTCAAGCAGTTTTGTAGAGTACTTGATTCTTAAGATCCTTTCATGTTTTACAAACACTCGTACTGAGTATTTTAAAGATTTTTGAAAGAAGAAAGAGAAATATAAATTGCTTCAATTAGACTTAACATTTTTTTCATTTGAAATTATTTACATACATATATGTAATTGTTCTTTGTGACAAGCCGCAATATTTTTATTATCCAGAGAGAACCTTTGCTAAAATTTGTTCAACCACATCAAGAGAAAAGTGCAAATGGAAACACTATTTTCTACCAAATTCTGTCCAGCTTATTTATTTTTCAACAAAAATATTATTGCTAATAAATGTATTCAATTTGTTTCTAAATTAAAAATTTTGTGTTGTACGAAGGTTTTGTTAGAAGACGTTAAACAAATTCTGAATTAAAATAATATTAAACTGCATTAAGAAAATTATTATTTTTTCTTTTACTTGTAATGTTTTTGTTGCTTTTATTTTAAGCCTGTTTAGATATTTATTCTATTGAATAAATAATGAAGTTGGTCCAACAGGTCTAGTACTGCTAACGGTTTGAACCATGTTTTTGCAAAGTGTAAGCACTTGTTTGTGTGTGTGTAGACAAGACTGCGACAATGCCAAACATGCCATTAAGACCATTAGGTCGCACTCCATGTCCGTGTGCAGACAGATGTCTGAGCGTAGGTCTGCAGAGCACGAAAATTACGATATGGCTAGGCAGGCGGCCAACAAATAGCAAGACATTAAAAGTACTTAAAGGATATTTGCATATTTATGAGCAAACATAAATGTGGCTGATTACAAGCAACAGCAGATTGACGAGCTGGCACGGCTCGGTCTAGCTTGTGTGATCGTCCGTGTTGTCGACGTTCTTGGCCAACATAAGCATATTTAAAAAGTTCATATCATATTCTTTCTTTACATTTGCTAACTCCACAGTCGATAGCATCCTCGTGTGTGTGTCCGTGGACCGCTCTAAATTAGTTGGCAATTAGCAGAACGTTTACAGCTGCTGCCTTACTATACTTGTATCTCTGGTACTGTTTGGCCCGTCCATCCAATTTGTAATTTTAATTGTTTGTTTATTTAAACTGGAGCATAGCTGGTTTGGCCTTAACAGCACCTTTGGGCTGCGACACGCCCATTAAAGCTGCGTTAAAGCTGTTGCTGGGCTACAGCGGAATTTGGTCATAAAGTTGCCCGTAAAATATTTTACGAGCACACGTTGACTTTCGGAAAAATTATCCAACCATGCTGCAAACCAAATAGCGTTGCTTATGGCCTTTGGTCAAATGCATCTACACATTTTTCTATTTGTTTATGTGGGGTTTCTATGTGCTTGCAAATAACATAACAAATAACTGGGCAAAGCATAAAGGCGTTAAGTAAAAAAGTTATTAAATTTTTGTTTATTGTTTTGCTCAACTGTGACCACCACAAGGCGTGCATGAACAACCAAAACGTAAATATAGTGTATGGTATGGCAGTGCAATTAATATGGCATCCAATTATGGGAACCATAGATACTGCATGGTGCAGAAAGCTAACAAGATAATAAAATATGAATTATATTCGGTCTTGGAATTTGACAATCTCAAGCAGCCTGTAAGAAAGCCAAATACTCCAGGCAGCTTTTAATAGAAAAACTACTGCAGGCTCTAGGGAAAAAATGAATCATATCCGGGACCATATGAACTTTACGCGGACTAGAAAATTAGCAATCTCAATTAAAAAAAGTTTTCAATTAATGGAAGGTGTCAAATAGCATTAATCCTTTCAATTGAGATGTGCTACCTTTACTTACAGACCTCATTAAAATTTAAAACTAATCTGTAATGTGTGCCTTAACACCAGGCTATGAAAAGGTGCTTCAAGTTATAGTTTGCATAAATATGTACTTTGATGTATTTTCTGTTATTATCTGTAATTATCGTTAAAGTAATCCCAATATTGACTTTTTCTACCAATAAGGTCCAATAAGAAGACCGGGGAAAGTTCATTCCAAAGATCTAAATAAAACGTTGAGCGCTTTTAATTGCAGGTTCATCCATATTATGAGATACTTCTGACATGAGAAGAAATTTGGGAGCTTTTTTTTGAAATTATGAATTCTTGGTCTAGTTATAACACTAATTCTAGAAATAATTAAGATAAAAATTGGTCGAAGCTGGATCTCATTTTTTGAAACAGCACTTCGATTTGAAAATAGTCGTATATTCCTGCTGCAATTTCCCCAAGCCTATGTTGTAGTTAAAAAAAAAAAAAACGATCCCAAAGAAAGGCCTAATTGAAATTTTAGCACTTATCGTGTAAGCGACCAACGACTTGGCCTGGCCGATAAAGAGTGAAAATTTTGTACAGACATGCCAAAATTTTTTTTACTATTTTTATTGTTTCTGTTGAGTAAATACATGTTTGTATGTGTGTGTGTGTGTGAGATGCTTTTAATTCTACTCATTGTTTGGTTTTTTTTTTGTCTACTGCTTTCCAATTAATTGTCGACAGCAGCCCAAAGTTAGCGACAAGCATTTGGTCGGCATTTGCCGGGGCGCAATTAATTTTCACCATGGAAAGTACCTTTTTCCTAGGCTGGCTGCAATTGGACTACGACTAAGCACTAAGCGATGCGACAGGAAAAGGCAGCAGCAATTCTCACGCTCATTTGTGTTGGACAGGGAAGGGGGAGTAGGGATGGGGTTGGGGGGCTGCTCGTAACTTATGTGGAAACGTGACATTTTCTCGGCTACTGGACAAAAATTGATGCCTGCGCGTGTTGCAGCCCGGGTCTGGCCGACTAACTGGCTTCTTGACTGGCTGACTGGCTGACTAGCTGACTAGCTGGCTGGTTGGCTTCCTGTGCTCAGTGTCTCGTACGTGTTTGGACTAGCTGTTGTTGTTTTTATGTCACACAATGACACAGTTTCATGTTCCCTGGCTGCTGTGACTTTGTCCGTGGTTGTGTTGCTGCACAGGCTTTTGTAATTTGTATTTCGAGTAAGCGGCATCGTCGGGTTCGTCGCCGTCTTGGCGTTTTAGTTGATTTAATCGAAATGGCTTAATTAATTTGTGCATGCGGCAGGCAAAAGTGAACACAACGACGAGGATGTGGCACCAACATCGGCACCCCAAACATGCCGGGAAAGTGGCACACACTGCTTGACTGATTGCCCTACAAAACGAAGAAAAAAAAGCAGCAAAAACGAAATACCATGCCAAGTGGCTAGGGTTGCCTTGCACGCAGCAACTTGTGCGCATTTCCTGTGCCTCATCAAACAGAGCAAAAAAGGAGAAGCGTTGAAAAATAAATAAGAAACTCATTTAATTTATGGCTGCAAAACTTGCACATGACTGGCATGAAGCCCCGCAAAAGGTTTAATAAGCAGCGTAAGAAACAAAAACAACAAAAAATGTGTTGAAAATATGAAAAACAGAGCTGCAGAAAAAAGACTCCTGTTGAGCATCCTGTTGCCTGTTTCGGTTTCTGTTTCCTGACAGCCGGCCCCACAGGGAACAAAGCATAAGAAACAGGTCGCCGTCAAACACTTGTGTAAATGAAGCCCTAAGTCAATATGCTTGGCTGACAAACACACACACACACACACACACACACATACGCACGCACACGTTGACAGGCGAGAAAACGCCACAATGAGTGGCCGCAGCATACTTGTATGGATACATGCCTTCGCAGGAAAGCAAAATAAGAAGAGAAAATGGGAGTTCCGCTTATGAAAAATGAAATTCAAGACGTTGGCCTGCAGCTCAAAGAAAATCGAGCACAAAAAACCAACCAACCGGCATTACCTACCACAAGCGACAGTTCATCGCCGCACATAATGAGATACGCGTAAGGTGCACCCAAAAGCAGCAGCAACAACAACAACAAAAGCCGCACAGGAAAAAAGCACAGGGGAGAAAATGCGATAAAAGCCGAGACAGAGCTTTTGGCCCCAAACGCGTGGGCGTTGCACAGTTTGTGCGCGCCAAAGGATTAAGGTGTACCTGTATGTGTATGGGTGTGTGCCTAGTAGGAGACTGTGTTGTGCTAACAAACAAAATCTAGGTAGAGTGGGTGGATACGGTTTTGTTTTGCTAACAAAAGCAACAGCGCCGACAAAAAATGAAAAGGAAAAGTGTAAAGGAGCACACGTCTGCCAAACGAAGCAGTCCTAGAAGCAGCAACAACAGATCGTACGTACTGCTACACTCAAAGAAGTGGCTCTGTTCTAGAAACATCCAAGTAATTAGAACTATCTATTACCAAGAAATAACCCCATTAAATTAATGAGAAAACATGAGATGAGGAATGAAATATCCTTAACTAAGTAAGTCGATATGTGAGCTATTAATTGTGTATAGCCATTAAAGTCATAATTATATAATAATAATTGCTGAGCAAACCATTCAATTCTTTTTAAGTTCTCAGTACGGTTTTGAAAATATTTATATATTCACATCACATATTTCTCTAGATGTGATTAGTTATTTTTCCTTATATTTAAAACAGAAAATCCCTACCTTTTCAATAAGAGTGCAATGGAGTTAAGGGCTTAGTTCAGAATATTTTGTTATATGTACCTGTTTGTGTGTGTTATGTGCAAGTGTATGTGTCGCTGTGTATGTGAATTGCCACATTAATCACACTAAAGAGCTATACAAAATGCAACTGCACTCGTTGGACTTAGTAGAGGTAGTTGTTGTATTCGTTGTTGTTGTCAGTGCTTTAAGCTGCAGCTTAAAATTGTGGCCACATCGCTTGCCCGCGTGCTTTCCACCAAACAGCTTACGCGGCTAAGAATCTGCGCCGCGTTCAGCGTCTCAGCCGCCGCCTCCGCCTTCTGCATATAATACAATATTTTTTTTAGTACCAGTGCTTGCAGGCCCGCCCGCGCTGCTTTATTATAAGCAACTGTGCCATAGACTTTTTCATGCTTTTCTTTCTTTAATTTCATTTCCTTTTTGACATGGTTCTTGTTCTGAAACCGACAACAACAACAAACACAACACCTACTCAGCCTCGTCTTCAGCGGTGCCATCCTTGCAATCCTCACAGTCTCGTAGTCCCCTTATTATGTCGTTCTTAGCACTTTTGATTACTTTTTATCCGCTTTAGTATGGTTTCATAGCACACACTACGTTTTGCTCTATTGGCAACACTGGCTGTTCTAGCTGTTCCTCTTACTCCACAATAGTGTTTCTATACTCTTTAAATGGGTGGTTTATTTATAAATAGTAGGTCCTTTGTGAAAAGATAAGGCTCAAAACTCTAGGGAGAATCCTCATGGCAAACTGGGTTCAGTACTTTTTTATTCCAGTTTCATTTAACTTATTTAATATTTAATTAAGTAGTGTGACCTTTCATCTAAATAAAACAGTATGTAACATGAACAGATTTGTGGACAAAAATTATTCCCAAACCGAATTTAATAAGCCGCTAAAATAACTTTGCCTAAACTTACAAGCCAATACGAATTTTTATTTGAAAGCATTGTGTGCAGAAAATATTTGTATAAAGCGACATACATTTAAATAAACTATTTTTGGGTTGCATATAACACGACCAGTTATTAAACTGTCTAAACGGTGAGAAATGTAATTAGCACTCACTTGTTTATCGTATTGAAATCATTGTTTGTTATATTTATATCCCATCCATATCTATTAGTCCCACAATATTTATTCATTATTTATTCATTCCAAATTTTTACCATATTCATATCATATTAATATCACATTTATATTATATTCATATAACATTCATATCATATTCATATCATTTTCATATCATTAATACCATATTCATATCCTTTTGATTTCATATAAACATTTGCATAGTCTTTGATAATTGTAAGGGTATCTTATCTTCGGCATGTCAAATTTAGCGATTCTATTTCATTTCTCTGCTATCCCTCCACGCTCGACGAACTGCGAGCTGTTGTGGTGACGTCGCCATGACTAATGACCTGCTGGACACTTTGTGCCTTTCGTTTGTTTAGTCTCATGTAAATAATGAAATAATATGGTTTTTCTGTTGTCTGGCATGAAAAATTAACGCAACCATTCTAGACTTTATTGTCCGCTGCATTGTCTGACTTTTAGTTTTATTCTTTTGCTGATGCTTTTTGCTTTCATTTGTCAAATGGCAAGTATCTGCTCACAACAGTGAGCATTTGTAAGTTTTAGCTTTGGTGAGGCTTGTTTCGTTAAAGTGTGAGAAAGGCGTTGAAATAAATGTTTTGGCAAGGCAAAGGATCTATTGGATTGTAAGATAAATACATTGTCCTGCCCAAAAACTGGTAGTCAAGCACTGAAATGGATTATGAAAAAACTTTCAGCAATGTAATATCATTTGAATTAATATTATTATTATTATTATTTTTTTTTTTTTTGAAAAATTTGCATTTCATGCTCAATTGAACAGTCACATCGCGCCTAATTCATAAATGAAACAGGGGGCAGGTATGGCCACAAAATAAAAAGCAATTAAAATGCAAAGCCACAAAATGGCATAAAAAAATTTGAGGTAATCGTTGTTGTTGTTGTAACAGACAACATTGTGACTTTGCTAAAGTCGGACAGACATAATGCGTCGACGGTGAAGTTGACGAGGTTGTTGTACATTTTTTATATTGAAATGAAATGAATGAAATGTTGACGTGCTTACTAATCAACCGCAGATAGCGGACTGGCTCTTTGGGCGCTGAAAAGGTAGACCAAGGTAGTAGCAATAACAACAACAACAACAATTACGACTTATAAGCGGTTGGGTAGAATAGTGTAGGTAGGGATTTTTTCTTCTTCGTTATTTTTTTTATTAATCATGCACAACATGCACAAGAGTAGGGGAATTCATATTGTAGAATCACAGGAAATCGAAACCGAAACTGACTACTCATATGTACTGCAGCGTCTTGGGCTTGGTTTGCTTTGGAACATTATGGCTTACCCCGACTACTCGAAGCTGCCAAAAAAAAAAAGATAATAATAAAAGAACGGGGAATAAAAAAATAAGCAACCGTTGGTTCTTTTTGAAGTCGTCTAGTGGGTCGACTGAAGTTCATTGAGCATTCATTGTCTGTCTGTAATTTATGCTTTATTTATTTTCTAACGTTCTACCTTTAGTGCTGCATATTCTGCTGTCTATCTTTTCGACGTTGTTGCTGTTATTTTTTCGGTTGACACTTTGTAACTGTTGCCCGTTTGTTCGAGCGTTCGATTGTTTGCTTTTCCAGAGACTGCCTAAGACTGTCGTCTCTCTAATATGGGCAATGAAAGTTTTCCACTTTGATTGACTTTGACTTCGACTTTTGTTTAGTTCTTATGTGTGTGTACGTGTAAAAGGGAAATCCCTTTTTGGTTGTGGCAGTGCCCATTTATAAGCAAATGTTTCTAGCGGCCTGGCCATGTTTTCTGGGCTTGGCGTTGAGGATGGGCTCTTTTGCGTCTGACCCAGAAAATGGGGAACACAATAAGAAAATATTGCGCCGCCTTTGTAAGTGAAATTTTTAGTTATCAGCCGAAATGGCTTGGATTCTTCTTTCTAGTCAAGGTGCTCGCTCTTTTCCATTTAAAAATGCGTTGGTGTGCAGAGGGTGAGGCATCATCTCCCCCACTCCAAGCTCTCTCAGTCCATTAGGCTGTCTCCCTGTGCCACATCAATGAAAGACATAATACACAATACACATACTGATATGCTCAACAAAAGGGTTAACGGATTTTTCCATATTTTTTTTGGATCATTTTGAAATTAAAGTGCAATTATTTGTGTGTTTAAACAATTTTGTAGAGCATGACACTCGAAATTTTTATTTTTATTTTCTGAATGATTACAAGTTATTAATCATGTTCAACGCTCATGCGTAGCTATGCTTTTTTGCCTTTATTAACTATTTGAATTGCTCACCTACAAACATACAAGTATGCGCTGCTCCACAACACTTTATAATTTTTATTTGTTTGCTTTTTTCTTACAGCACATTTGGCAATCAATTAACACAAAAACAGCGCACTCATTACTCATTGACAACAATTTCTTTTTTCACTCTCTTTTTATATAGCCTTTGTTTGTACGGTTACGCGATGCTTTGTGTGTATTTCGTAATATTCGTATTCGTATTACACTCTGCTTGATTTCTTTTGTTAGCTGCGGACACAAGAATTTTTACTTTCACGCTCTTGCGAAATGATTCTACAAGAAGTTTAAAACAGTTGTAAGAAATTTGCATAAACTAAGTATTAAGCACGCGTGCGCGTTTGTTTTTATTATTTTGTTTATTGGCGTAGAACGCGCTTGAAAACTATCTGTGCGGGTTTCGCGTGGGAAGCGGCGCACGCGCACAGTTCGAGCGACGATTGGGGAATGAACCGGTCGGTGGTTGCCGCAACCACAACAAGCGCGCCACTACCGCCTGTAATGAAGTGGAAGTGGATTCTGAGCGCCGACAGCATGTTGAGTTGACTGGCCAGAACGTCTGTTAAGCTAGCTAGTGACGTTGACGCTGACGGCACAGTCGACGTTAGCGCAGGCAGTGCTGTGGACGTCGGCAGAACCTGCTTTAGCTTTAGCTTTGTATGATCAATGAACCATGGCCTAAGCTTTGTCGTTCTTAAGCTGCAGCAGCGACGTGGCGTCGAATGCTCTGTCATGTTATTTAACAGCGCTTTAACAGTGCTGATGAACCAACCGGTCGTCTCTTGTCTGTTATCTGTTATTTGTGAGTCTGTGGCTCGCTCATTGATTTCGTTTGTGTGTTGTCGTTTCTCAGCGATTTTCGGCATTTGTTTTGAGCTCTAATTTCTAAGCAAATGTTACCTTATGTTCTCCACTTCTCTTTTTAGCTTGTTATGTGAGATTTCTCAGATAAAACTTGGCCACTGAACTGAGGAGCAGTTGTTTAATAGTTTTCTTTGAATTTGAACATTTTATGTTGCCTCGTTGATTTGTTTGCTGAGAAAACGTAGTCATTTTTCTCTGTATGTGGGTATATGTGTGTGTCTGTTTGTTGATGCTGTTTGTAAATGTCTATTTTAATTTCATTAACATTTCATTTTTTGTTCTTGGTTTTGATTTACTTTGGGGTCGCCATTTGAAGCAGAAGAAAGGTCTGTGTCACTTTTTTGAGCCACGAACTTGTGGCTGTGCGTGTGAATTTTTATGGTTCATTAAGTTTAAGAGCAGCCGCTGTTTTGCATTTATTTATAGCAACTGCTCTTTTTTCGTTATTCGCTTGGAAATTGGCATTGACTGAACGGGTCTCGGCATTTGGGCGCTTTGATTTGCATGAGGAGTGACAAACAAAGCCACAACAAATGTATTCAATAGTGATGTAATGGGTATCTTCGGGATCTAAGCATGTCTTACCGAGCCCCTCGCCCTCTTAATTCATGTACCATGCTAAATCCATGCACAGCTTTTGATTCTATGGGACTTTTGTTGTTGTTAGCTTTTGGGGCGTCGCGAATAAAATAATTTTTTTAGCAAGACTCAAAACTGTCAGGCCCATGATTTACGACAAGTGGTTTAGAATATTCAATCACAGTACCTTTCAAAATGCCGCAAGGCTAAAACCATCAAGAGCCGCACGCAGTCGCACATGCGGGTCGTTCCGCTGCTCCGCTTGATGTTGTGTGCCGCATTAAAAAAGAAAAATTAAAAAAAAAGACAACCAAAATACCGGTCATAAAAACCGCATGCATAACATGAAATATGAGTGCAAATTATAAAGCGACGTCACGTCAAAGGATTAACAAGCCCAACAGTCAAAAAATCAAAAGAATCAAAGCCCAAATGCTGAACGACGACCCAACAACAGTGTTCATCCATCCATCTGACCATTCCATCGACCATTCCTCTGTTCATGCGCCCGACTTTAATTTCAAGGAAGTCCCACTCCGCAAGAGTTTTATAGCTTTATGGCAAGCTGCCCCTTTTTCATACGAAACACAACGTCGCGTTTATTGTCGATAAAATCTAACAAAATTCTTCTTCTGCAGCCGCAGCTGTAGTCAGTTGGTGGCAGCGAGAGGGACAAGGGGAGGGCGGCGGTTGGGGGCGCATACGCATGGCTCAAGCGTTAAATGGTCAACACCCATGCGGCGTTGTTCAATTTTAAAATGCAGATTATGTGCGTTGATTAAATATTGCTTTTTAATTTCCTTAGCCAGTTACTTACATTTTTTTCTTTTTTTCTAAATTAAAAATGCATTCAGTATGTTCAGAATGCTGGGGAAATATAAAAACCACTCTTTATGTCATGCACGTTTCGATTAATAATAAAAACAACCAACATTAATAAAATTGAATACGAACAAGCGGTTGGTCGGCGGACCGTCTATTGAAGGTTGAAGAAGGGTTTTGTGGCATGTCCGGTGATGGGATCGTTTAAAATGCAGCTGCAGACACTCGAATGACTGACAAGAACGTAAGCTAGCAGGTCAGATACGAACACACACACACACGTATAAGTATACTCACGCATATGAAGCTGAAGAAGTTTGTTGTTTAAGTCTTTTGTTTTGGGCCGCCTTATCAAATATGTGGAAATCACTTTTATAACTGTAAATGTAAGTCATACCCAGCATTTATCAGGAAATGGCTTTAGCCCGAGCCGATTTGCATAACACAAAAGCGTAACAACAACAAAATAAATCAGCCGTTGCCATTGTCGCTGCCTCTTTGCAAGTCCGACTGCAAGCCGTTTGCCATCTGCGAGTACCGCCGTGCGTGTGCCAATTTCCCTCCACCTCTCCCTGCCATACTTTTTTGTTTTTTGTTTTGACTTCAAGCCCACGCCAGCGAATCGTCCATAGCCGCCTGCCATATGCAAATGCGCGCATTTAAAATAAAAGCTCACTGTCACATCCCAGCTTCGCAACATCCAAACATCCCCACATTGACGTTGGAACCCGTTGACTAAAATTAGCTGCAATGTTATTTTTATTTCATTTTATTTATTTGTTTTTTTGTTAGGCTTCACCGACTTCAAGTTTCCGACTGTGGTGCCTTTCTTTGGAAAGCATCTGAGTGTTGCGTAGCCGTTGATTGATTGCCACACCAGGCTTCTTTTTTTCTTTTATATTTTTTTTTCATACATACAAGTATATACCTAAATGTATTTTCCTTTTCTTTATGCGGGCTTACTTACTCTTACACACCAGCAGAGTTTAGTGCGTCGGCCAGACTTAACCTTTCGTGACTGACTGAGATGCACTTTTGTCTTTGAGTCGGCGTCATCGTCATCATCATCATTCTCTTCGTTTCCTGCACAGGTCGCGTATGTTTTACGCCTAATTTGGCTGTGATTGATGTTGTAGACTTGTTCGAAAACGAAAATTAGTTATTTATACGAACACTGCGTTAAGCGGTTCAATGAACCAGTCACAGCCATTGCATCGACTCTAATTTTGCAAATCTATAAAACATCGTTTGATTAACATATCTTTACTCAAACAGCAAAATTTTTACTGGTTGTTGGAAATACATTTTGGATTAAAATCCCGAAAAACTATTAAAATAAATATTTTACATTTAAAATCAGTTCTAAATTTTGTACTTTGAATTGAACCATTTAAAATGCAGCCAACATATGTATATATAATACAAATATTACATTTAGAATTGCTACGCTTGGCATGGAAAAGAAAAGAATCCTATCATATATCCAAGGGCGTAGGCAGCTTTCTTTTTAAATACGACTCCAAATTCTATTCATAGGCAAATGAGTTCAGAAACGATTGTTCAATCAATCATATGCAATACTTCAGAATGAAGCTATTCGAATTGTTTAATACATTTATAAATAAATGAAACCACAAATTAAAAGAAAAAAAGATGTTTCCATAAGCATAAAGAAATAAAATAAGTAAATAGCGCTCACCAGCTCACCAATTTTAAGGAAGGCCTATACATTTCAAGCACCCAATAACCAATAAAGGTTTGCCAAATTAATATTTAGTATTTCTGAAATAATTCACATACATCTTATCAGGCTCTCACTACTAAACAATATCTTTTCGAAAACAATAATGAGGCACAATTTCTCTTTAGGAATTTATGTTCTTTCTTAAAGAATTAAACTGTAAGAACCTTTGGGAGTTCAATGAAATCATTTTCATATCAAGTTATTGCTGACATGTTCTTTTCAATGCACTTTCAGAAGTTCTAGCGCCTTCTGGTCTTTTTTTTTAAAGACATAAAACAATTGTCAGTTAACAACTGACCCACTTTATAGTGCGGGCGCTTTTCAGCTCTTGGCAATATCTGTTGCCCTTTGTGGATTTTGACATTTAAAAACACATACTCCGAGATATACAGGTTCGAGAGCAATTAATTACATTAGCAGTTGTACGTTGGGGGCTGGAGCTTGAGTTCACGCTCTCTAGGTGCCATTATTTATTTGGCGCGACAAACGTTTCGCTACCAATTAGGAAAAAAATACAAACATTTTTCATTTTCAGCTGAAAGTTGCATCGCTTGCCAATTTGGCTTTCATTTTCGGTCTGCAAAAACGAAACGTGTGCTGCCCGCCTATGGCCCTGGGTGAAAAGGTTCTCATGTGACTTTCGGTGGCAGTTTCAGTGGCAATTGCAGCAGCAATTGTGGAACATTTCGTTAGATATTTTCATGCAGCAGCCTTAATAGGGCTTCAAGTAACCGTGCAGGATGGTTGATTTAAAGAGGCAGGGCACCAGACAGTTGGCTTGGATGTCTGTCGACAGGCTGCAAACAATGCGCTTAAGTTTGCTAGGAGCCTGTTATGGTTCGCCAACAAGGATGGCGAGCAATAAAAAAGGTGTATTCAAATGCGAGCAACATGCACAGCATCTCCTACATAAATAAGGCAAGGGCAACAAAAGCAACAGAAGCATGCGATACAGAACACATTCAGCACCAAAACCGAGAAACCGAGAGACCAAGAAAAT